TGCTATGTAATGTTTTGAGCATGAATATGTTTTATACATAAATTTTATTTAGCATGTAATATACATTGCATTATTTATATAGTTTATGAGTTTTATCCATGAAAGCATTTTATAACAATAATATCTGTCTATCAATAGAATTTTTAAAATATATTTTGGTCATTTATAGTTTATAATTGTCACATAATTACTAAGACGACATAAAATAACCAAAAATTATCTTACATATATTGCCATTGAGTTGGTATAATATTGTATTATTCAGGAACTACTCCATAGGGCTTTCATGAGTGTATTAAAATATTGCTAAATAATTCTTACACAGAACACATTAAGTAATTGGGAATATACCTTTTAACGATATGAACGAAACTAATTTCTTCAATTCAAACTTCTTTTGATAAATAATAATTGCTAAAATAATGTTCAGCATCGTTTGTTCTTTTAGAGATGAGAGTGCTGGGTTGTCTGCTTCACACAATTGAATAGTAATGGAACAGAATTGTGTATCAGTAGTGTCACTCAATTATTTGAACTCCTTTATCAAATGCTTTATCACTAAAATTTATTTTTTATTTCTTATTAGTTGATAGCTTGTTTAGGTTCTTATGGTATGTGGAATGCAAAGAATTAGAAACCATTGACTCAGCAGTTTTTAATCATTAAAAACATTCAACAAACGCCCTGAACCCACTGCCATCGAGTCTTTCTGATTCATTCTGACCCTATAGGACAGAGAAGAAACTGCCCGATAGGGTTTCCAGGGCTATACATCTTTTCGGCACCAGACTGGCACATCTTTCTCCCATGAAATGACTGGTGGATTTGAACTGCTGACCAATGATTAGCACCTGAGCAATTAACCACTATGTTAATGAACTCCTCGTTAGAGTCCTTCTAAAATCAACCCAAGCTCATTGCCACCAAATTGATTCTGACCCAGAATGACACTAGAGGATAGGATAAAATGCCCTTGTGTGAGATGCTGAGACTGCAACTCTTCACTGGAGTGTACTGAAAACTGTCTCCTATGGTGTGGCTGGTAGTTTTGAACTGCTGCCCTTGCAGTTAGCAGCCCAACAAGTAACCACTATACCACCAGGACTCCGATTAGAATCCTTAGAGATATGCAGTTCTGGGAAATATACAAAAAAGGCCTTTATTAAAGCTTCTTAAATAGTTTTTAATTATATCTAATAGTTTTTAATGAGTTCCTCTGGCGCTGATGACTAAGTGTTGGATTGCTAACCACAAAGTCAAAGATTCAAACCCACCAGCCTCTCCCAGGGAGAAAGATGAGGCTGTTTACTCCCATAAAGACTTTCAACCTCAGAAACCTTGTAGAGGGTTATAGTGGACAGAATTGACTCAGTGGCAATGGCTTTTGAAATATTAATCATTTACTTTGAGGCATCATAGTTAACATTTTTAGAAAATGTTGAAGAAGTTCAATATTATGATTTTCAATAAACCCAAAGCATTAGAAAATTTTTGTGTGAAATGCTTTTATCAAGTGCTTTAAGCATGTTTTAATCATTTAGTTTAATAAATTGTTGAATTCAAAGCCATAATGACAAAGGTTCTGTTCCTTTTCAAACCAGTCATACTTCCATGACAGAAAAAGCCTTACTTTATGTTTTAATTCAAATAATGTGTCTCTCATATTGTATCAGAAGTCACCTGATTTCAGTTGGAGAGCCGAGAAGAACCACCAGAGGCTGAGCTGATTTCCATTCGATGGAAATCACACATATCTCTATGCTCAAACCCTTTTACCGATTGAAGCACTGGGTATTCTTCCTACTGTACTTCCCTGGTGTTTTGATAATTTATTGCAGTGGCCACACAAAACTCCCAGCTTATTACATGGTTTATTAGGGAAGTAACAAGCTACAGTTCAGGATCAGGACCAATTTCCAAGTGATGTAGTTTTGTAACTCAGGACAGATTACTACCAGGACGACACAAGAGGCATCTTTTATACTCTGCCCACAAGCATACCCTAGCCTCAGCCTCTGCCGTTGGCCACTGCTTTTGCTGGGCTTCACCACCAGGTACAACTTGAGCAAGTATTATAGCTTTTTGACTACCATCAAGTACCTGGAGATGCCCTATTCTTCTAACAGACCTCCCTAGTGGTGATTTGCTCTCTCACTCAGCGGGTGGGGATGCTTTGCTTTGCCAGCAAGCTCTTTCAGCTGTACCACCCTGCAAGCAAACGATGTCGAAGCCATTGCGCTCGATTGCGCCATTGGTCAGCAGGCTCATTGTAGACATTTGGCTGCTACACTGCCTATGCCATCTTACATCATCTCTTAAACCAACTCAAGCGTTCCAACTTGCCTTCCTCCCGCATTCCCATGGCCGGGAGCTTGGCACAGGATGCATTTGGCTCCTGGCCCGTGATAAAATGCCGTCTCCTTCCAACCTCTGTAGAATTGACTACTTTATAATCCTACTCTTCCCATCGGGACCACAAACTGACCATCATCTTTGTAGGTCACAGACATTGAAAAGCCTATGGTATTGCAGGGCCCATGTGACAGCCATCTTCTGGTATAACTTACAGTAGACAAAGGGACTCAAAAAGTATGGAAAAATGGAATTAAAATATAGTGGAATTTTCCCATAAACTTTGAAGCAAGCTCCTTTATAACAAGACTAAGTAAAGATGACTGCTGCCCGGGTTCCATTTCACTCACGCACTCATTATCCCAAACAGACGGGATTTAAGTTGGTCTATATGAATAGTAGATGAAGGCAGACAAGTTCTCTCAGTTAAAAGCGTCCACTTGTCTTTGTCATGTTAGGGTGCCAAAAAAAAAAAAGTCCAGTTAAAACAGTGGCTTCTCAGGGATTCTGTGGGGCCAGTTAAATTCAAGGCCATAGTTACTGTTTTTCAGGATTCCGAAAGAGTGACTTTGATAGATATTACAATTCAAATGATAATCAGTGCCTTCCTTATTCATTGTCCAGCGTTCATGTGCACATGAGGTAGTTGAAAATGCCATCACTGGGTCAGACACATTGAAGTCCTTTAAGATCCTTGATCCTTAACACTTTAACGAGGTCTTACCCAGTGCAGTGTTTTGTCTGATTTTTTGACTAATGTTCCTATGGGTGTTGAGTGTAGATCCAAGAAAAATGAAATCCGTGACGAATATTTTTCTCATTTATTGCGATGTATTTATGGATCCATGTGGTGAAGTGAAATCTCTTAAAATGGTTCTTCTATCCATAATCCCACAACGTCCCCTCTCTCCCTGTGGTTATAATCCCACTTGAGGGAGCTCTGTTATGCCAGTGGGCAGGGTTCAGGTGGATGTATTGTACTTTATTGTCTGTACAATAAAGTGGATTTGTTGTACAATAAAGTCTGTACTTTATTGTTGTCTTGTTAGGTGCCATCTAGTTGGTTTCAACTCATAGCTCAGAATACCTTGTGAGGATTGTCCTGTGCCACCCCCATCGTTGTTCTTGTGTCTGAGCCTGTTGTTGCAGCCACCGTGTCAATCCATCTTGTTGAGGGCCTTTTTCTTCGTTGCCCCTCTACTGTACTGAACTGAAACCTGTTCACTTTGGGTGACCCTGCTGGTATTTCAAATGCCAGTGACAACTTCCAGTATCACAACAACATATAAGCCACCACAGTACGGCAAAGTTAACAGACAAATAGTAGCTATGCCTTACTAGATGGTATGAGTCAAATGACCACGCTTTGTTTCTTTGGGGTATCTGCTGCTGGAAAAAAATACATCTCCATCCAAGCCATTCCCCTGTGTCTTTGAAAGCTATCCCAGAAGCAAGCAAGAAAAGCTATCAGCGGAACACTTTTGAAATCTCTGCCTGAAGTGCTGGAAGCAGGGGAGGTCTTGCCATGCCAAGACGAGAGGTCGTGACAAGGAGACCTTGAGAGAGAGCAGAAGAGCAGTGCCGAGGGCTTCTTGGCCCATGGACTGAGGCTTAGGCCAAAGGGCCACGTACCTGAGAGGCTGAGAACCAGAGAGAGACTTGGCTGCTGGAAGGAAAGGCACTGATGTGGACCACAGACGGTGTTATGATGCTAACTTATGGCACATTGTTCACTGCAGTAATAAATCCCACACTTGTGAGTGTTTTCCGTGAGTTCTGTGTGGCCATTTGACAAATTATCAAAATTAGGAACAGTTGGTGCCAGACTACGGTTACAAAAAGATGAATGGAGGGTGGGGATAGATCTGACCCTCTGCCTGTGACAGTCAGCCTTGTGGAGTTGGATTCTCCATTTTCCTTGAGTAACCTGAAGAGGTCAGATCTGGCCATTTTTGCAGTGGAACTGTGAGGACATTTGTGTTCTTTACATTGAGGTATAATTCATAATGAAGGCACTAAGTGCTTCACACCTTCTTCACTTCCAGCAAGCAAGATCTTCCCCCAATCCTGATGCCATTTTATTCTTCATATGGTTCACCTTCTGGAATTATTTGTTCAGCGTACAGATTGAACAGTAATGATGAAAGGATACAACACTAATGCATACCTTTCTTGATCTGAAATCACAAAGTATAGCTTTGTTCTATTTGAAAGCTGCTTCTTGGTCCTTGTATAAGTTCAGCACGAGTACATGAAGTGTTCTAGAATTCTCATTCTTTGCTATTATTATTCTTAGTTTTTTATAATCTACATAGCCAAATGCCTTTGCGTAGTCAATAAAACACAAGTAAACATCTTTCTGGTATTCTCTGCTTCAGCCAAGTTCCAGCCACGAATACCTTCTTTCTATCACCTCTCTAAATCCAACTTATATTTCTGCCAGTTGATTATCATCAGGAAAATTGTACTTTCATGTGTTATGAATGATATTGTTTGACAATCTCCACATTTTATTTGATTACCTATAATAGTATAGCAATACGTTTAGTTGAGGTCAACTGACTTTACTGATAGTACGGTCAAATGTCCATGAGGCAATTGTTCTGATAATATTATGTGATCAATATATTTGTTTGTATATGTTGTAGGTATTCTCTGAAACCAAATGACCAAATCTTGGCTGAAGACAAACACAAGGAACTGTAAGTGTTCTGAACCCTATGTTGTGCATAGTTTACTGTCTATGGAGTATGTATATGGAAAACATCTTACTCTTTAAGTTGATAGGAAAGATGAAAGTGTAATTAACACCATGCTCTTCATCCCACTAGGACTGGGATAATCTACGTTAAATATGGATGAAACTTAAAATGGTTATTCCCATTTTATCATCTAGCCCAGGGGTCAGTAAACTGCCCCTCACAACAATTTAAAAAGTATTCAAGAGCTAAAAATATAGTTTTACAAGCAAATGAAATCACCATTATCTGAATAGTTTTATTTTCATTTTCAGTTTTACTTTAGTCACGTGCATGTATGTACCAAGAGAGCTCCCTGTGGCTCAAGAGCTGGAGTTGGCGTACCCCTCATTTAGACCAATGTTTCCTAAAATGAGTGAAATCCCCCTGCAAGCCACTGGAGCAGTCCAGGGAGACTGAAAAAGCTTATACCCATACTTTATCCTAGATTATCAGTGTTAGTATGAAAGTTTTTTATTGCTAGGGGGACACTTGAGTAATTTTTTTTCTAGAGGGGAGCAGTAGGCTAAATATGTTTGAGAACCTATGATGTAGAGTAAAAATATCTGGGGATATGGGTCATTTTCATTGCCTAGATAAAAATTTAAATTACTATTATTAATATTTGGTGTTTATCTACCTCATTTATTCTATGCTAAAGATACAGAAATATAATTTTGTTTCATTTGTTGCTTTATGGACAAAATAAATGCCTAGCTATTTTGTTTACCAGAAGGTTAAAACACACTTAAGAGTAAAGTTTGAAATGAGGATAGAATTTTGCCTCCTTTTTAAACTATAGATTAAAATTACATATACCTCCCTCCTCCCAGTACATTTAATGGAATATTAGGCATTTATCTAAATGTTTTAGAGTAATATTTAATATCACAAGGATTAAATAGAGGATTACATAGCTTAGAAGGAACTTTTAGTAGTTCTCTGTGTGATGGGATTATGGGTGAATTTTACTTTCGTTTTTTGTTCTTTTCTTATCTTTCCTAATGGATTGTGTTGTTTCTATAACCAAACAAGAGACTTTGATGAGAGAAATTTAAAAATTTTCCAAATATGAGGTATGTAATATGAATAGAAATCTGCTTAATGGTACCTAAGAAAACTAAGAGATAAATCTTCAATTTATAAGCATAATTAGTTTGCCAAGTAAGCTATATAATGGAGCCTGAAATGGTTTCTACTTCCCCCTTCTTTTAGTACATGAGTCATGAACTTATGTTACAAGGATGACATATGAGACAAAAAATTCTATCTGTTCTATTTTTTATAAACTTTTATTGAAGCTCTATCCATTTAATTTCATATTTTATTCAAGTAAACCATAATTTTCTAATTCTAATTCTGTTTTCTAAAAGATCATACTGATCCACCATGGTATTGTCAAAATGCTATGTACTTTTGAAAAGTTTGATTCTGTGTATTCCATAATGAGAGGACAATGATAGCTTTAATTTAAACATTTTTTAAAAAATATGACTTTTTGAGGAAAAGGAGCCCTGGGGTACATGCAAGGGTGAAAACCACGAGGCCAGCACTTAAACCGCCAGCCCCTTGGTGGGAAAAAGACAAGAGTTTCCACTCCAGGACAGAGTGAGTCTTGGAAACCCAGAGGGGTGCTTCTGTCCTGTCTTCTAGGCTCACTCTGAGTTGACATTGACTTGCTGGCAATTAGTTTAAGTGGTAAAGAAGGAGTCATGGTGTTGGGCACTGGGTTTGTAGTTCAATCTCAACAGCTTCCCTGCTGGAAGAAGCTGAGGCTGCCATCCGTTCCTTTAAATATTTATAGTCTGGGAAAACCTGAGTAGGATGGCAATGAGTCATAATGGACTTAATGAGAGTAGGCTTTGTTTTTATGTGGTAAGTGTTAAGTATGTTTTTCATTAAAAATGTTCTTAGTTCCTAAAATCTGGTGACTCACATTCCATATACCCTTACTCATTTACTTACTCATGATTCACAAAAATATTTTTTATTCCTCTGCTTGGAGAAAACAGGATAAAATTAGTCAGAAATGACAGTGACACTTGTTTTTCTAAGAAGAATGTTTTTATCAAGTTCCTAATTTTCTATTTCACATATTGAGTACTTAGGGGATAAATTTAAGCAGGAAAATCAAGCAATTAATATTGTGTTGTGATGCATTAAAAGCTGTAGAGTTCATACTTTTTACTTTATGCTTTATCAAGTAACTGAATCCATAGTTTTTTTTTTCCCTCATTCAGTTAAAATAGAGTAATTTTAAACAAGTAAGTTTTTTTCAGTATTTCAATCATCTTTTTAAAATTTTACCTTCTCACTAGTTACGGTGTTAAGCGCTAAAGAAGTTATTGTAGTCTTGTATAAATTGATATTTATTCCCAAATTTAATATTATTTAATGTGTCCTGATAGTTCTACAAGTGCAGATTTTGTTTGCATTCTTTCATCATACTTACCCAATCTTTTTTTGTTGTTTTATTTTTGGATTTTTAAAATCATTTTATTGGGGACTCATATAACTCTTATCATAATCCATATATACATCAATTATATAAAGCACATTTGTACATTCGTTACCCTCATCATTCTCAAAATATTTGCTCTCCATGTAAGTCCCTAGCATCAGCTCCTCATTTTTCCCCTCCCTCCGTGCTCCCTCTGCTCTCATGAACCCTGGATAATTTATAAATTATTATTTTGTCATATCTTACACTGTCTGACATCTCCCTTCACCCACTTTTATATGTAGATCCTTATAATCAGTTCCCCCTTTCCAACCCACTCTCCTTCCACCCTCCCGGTGCTGCCACTCTCACCACTGGTCCTGCAAAGATCATCCACCCTGGATTCCCTGTGTTTCCAGTTCCTACCTGTACCAGTGTACATCCTCTGGTTCAGCCAGACTTATAAGGTAGAATTGGGATCATGATAGTGGGTAGGGAGGAAGCATTTAGGAACTAGAGGGGTGTTGTATGTTTCATTGTTGCTACACTGCACCCTGACTGGCTTGTCTCCTCCCTGCGACTGTAAGGGGATGTCCAGTTGCCTGCATTCACAATGATATGATTTTTTCTTCTTTAAAGCCTGATCCCTGATCCCTTCGACACCTCGTGATCACACAGGCTGGTGTGCTTCTTCCATGTGGGCTTTGTTGTTTCCGAGCTAGTTTGTTTACCTCCAAGCCTTTAAGACCCCAGATACTATATCTTTTGATTGCCGGGCACCATCAGCTTTCTTCACCACATTTGCTTATGCACCCATTTGTCTTCAGTGATTGTATCTGGGAGGTGAACACACAATGATTTGATTTTTTGTTCTTTGATGCCTGTTAACTGATCCCTTCGGCACCTCGTGATGATGCAGGCTGGTGTACATCTTCCATGTGGGCTTTGTTATTTCTCAGATAGATGGCCGCTTGTTTACCTTCAAATCTTTAAGACCCTTAACACTGTATCTTTTGATAGCCAGGCTCAATCAGCTTTCTTCACCACATTTGCTTATGTACCGTCTTATGCTTTGTTTTAGCGGTTACGTCGGGAAGGTGAGCATCATAGAATGCCAGTTTAATAGAACAGTGTTCTTGCATTGAGGGAGTACTTGAGTAGAGGCCCAATGTCTATCTGCTACCTTAATACTGAACATATAAATATAGGCACATACATCTATTTCCCATCCTCATATATAAATGTATTTACATATATGTATACCTGTATTTAGACCTCTATAAATACCCTTTGCCTCCTAGCTCGTTCCTCTATTTCCTTTTACTTTCTTCTTGTCCCACTACCATGCTCAGTCTTTATTTGGGTTTCAGTAATTCCTCTCGGTTACATTACCCTTGATCACGCCCTACGAGGCCTACGAGGCCTCCGACACCCTCCTCACCACCGGTTTGGATCACTTGTTCTTCCCTTGTTAACACCACTTCCTTTCCCCTCACTTCCCCCTCTCCCATGTCCGCCCGGAACTATTTTATTTAGACAGACCTGCGGAGATAATAACATGCACAAAAACAAAACAAAGCAAAAGAAAACAAAACAACAACAAGAAGCCAATGACAAAAGAAAAACAACCAAAAAAGCAACACAACAACAAAAAAGAAAAGCTTGTAGTTAGTTCAAGGACTGTGTGTTGTTTTCAGGTTGAGTTTGATGGAGTACCAAGCCCTGGCCTATTTTTGGTATTCCCTGGGAATGTCATTGCTCTGTTCCCCTTGCTGTTCTGTTGCACGCCTTTAGTGTTTTGCCTCCGTATGGTTGGATCTGATCAGGCGCAATTCTCACACTGTGCCTCCAGTGGTGTTCCTTGTCGGGCTACGGGTCAGTGATGGATACCGTGTCTCATAGAGGGGCCAGCCATATGGTCTTCTCTGTGGACTGGCTGCTCTGAGTGGGAATATCGTTGTCAAGGCTTGGTGGGCCAGTGTGTGCTCCACTCTCTCTTCTTCCCCCTTCATTTGCTCCCGTGTGCTCTGATCAGACATGTGCCTCTCCCTCAGCTGCAGCTTCAGTGCTGTGCTCTGAAATAAATTCTTCTGTGGGGAGGGGCAGCTGTCCATGTAGTTGGGTTTGGGGCCAGCCCCTCAGACCTCTCCATTGTGTTCTGTAGTTTTAGAGGAGTCAGGTGCCATTTTCCTGGGAGTCAAAGAGCACTGGCTCTCTCTGGGAGACTTGTAGGAATGTTTCTTTGAACTCCCTACAGCTAATTTCACTATGCAGTTAGCCTACCACTTTATCCTCCTGTGGCTTCACTCTCAAGGGGAGCACCCCAGAAGGCTGGTGGGTTGCCTGCTTTGGTGAAGAACACTGCAAATGGTGGGTGGAATTTCCCTGGCCAGGTAGATCACTGCAGATGTTGGGCAGAGGTTCCTGAAGCAGCTTGGAACATTGGTGGGTGTTGTCTGAGCTGACTTAGCCCGTGTGAGGCACTAAAGTAGATGGGAGGAAGTTCCCTCAGTCACATGGGACA